CGCATGGCACTGACAAAAAAAACCCTGAACCCGAAGCCTCATCCTGGCGCTGTTTTTCGATCTCGGCCCGCTGCTTCTCGAGCCTGGGCGCAGTCTCAAACTGAGGGTCGAAACACGGGGCTTAGGGTTTTTTTTTTTAATGCAATAGCCCCCTTTAGGGTTTAGGGTTTAGGGTTTAGGGTTTAGGGTTTAGGGTTTAGGGTTAGGGTTTAGGGTTTAAGGCTTAGGGTTTGGGGTTTAAAGCTTAGGGTTTAGAGCTTCGGGTTTTGGGGGTTTATGGTTTAGAGTTTAAGGCTAAGGGCTTAGGGCTTAGGCTTCTTTAGGGTTTGGGGTGTGGTAACATCATATGTGCGCAGCAGACGGCCCACCCCAAGACCACCCTGAGTTCAAGGATTTTAGGGTTTAGTTCCAAAGTAGTTTAGGCATCCCAGCGGGGACTTTGGCATCGCCGATGATGCTCGTTATCTTCAACGGGGCCAAGGCCAAGCGATGCCAATGTGGCGAGGGCAAAGGCAATGTCGGCGGCGGATAGAATCGAAGGAATACAGCGAGAAGGTACGCGCCAAATGGAAACAAACAGCCCTGTCTTTGCTTCTGTGGTTTTATTTCCCGCAGGTACCGGAAGAAGCGGGCTGCTTTCTGTGAGGCTGTGCTGGCGGCGGTTGTCACAAACAGACACATGTGTAAAGTTCAGTCCATGTGGGTTTTCTGTAAGGCTGTCGTGGCGGGCGGGCGCCGGAAGAGACAATACAATATGGGCTTTCTGCGAGGCTATGCTGGCGGGAATTGTGGCCACCACGATGGACCTTGGATTGCCAGCTGTCTGAAGGGGCACTCCATGTATGCTTTCGGAAAAGCTGTCCTGGCGAGAGCCGGAACAAGCAATGTAAAATGGGTTTTCTGTTAGGCGGTTGGGGGGTGTGCAGCCCTTGTCAAGAGCTGCAACTCGTGAAGGGTTGGGGCACAACCCTTGTCAAGAGGACAGGCTGCTCCAACTCGTGAAGGGTTGGGGGGGTCCAACCCTTGTCAACAAGGGGGCCGGCTCCAATATTTCCAGATTTTCACTGTTGCCAGCCGCTCCAACTCGGGGGGGTGCAACCCTTGTCAAGAGGGCAGGGTCTGGGGCCGGTTTCAACTCGTGAAGGGTTGGGGTGCGCAACCCTGTCGAAAGGATCCGTGGACAACAAATTTTCGGGTTTAGGGTTTCTACCTTTGAGTCGCCTAGCTTTACCTAAGCTCTGCGTGCACGCTCTCTGCCGCTCGCGCAGCTCGGGCCACTTCGAGCTCCGTGGTGCACGGTTGTCGATCCCTCAGCGAAGACTTTAGGGCGTAGGGCCTAGGAATAGCACCGGCAGTACCGCAAGAAGACGAGTATCAAGATCAAGATTCTTACCAACCAGCGGTCAAAGGGCCGAGAATTCAGGGCTCTAGAACGCTGTAGGCTTCCCAGCTCAAGCGATATAGGTCTGCACTTATACCCAAGGTTTTCGGGATCCAAACTAGGAAGCCGAAAGCTTTCTTCGAAATGTCACACACACACACACACAAACACACGCACAGAGAGAGGCTGGAGCCGTCGAAGCAAACAGGGCCCCATGCGTGATCTCCGTGATGGCCCTCTCCTCCTCCTGCGATTTGATCTCCGCCTGCCAACGCGCCGAGCTTTAAAGGAAACGCACCCCAAGAGAGAAAGGCCAGCAGATAGAACCCCGAAGCCCTCTTTTTGTACCGTGGAGCCTTTGAAAAAACTCACGCGCGAAAGCGCTATTCCTGGCCCTAGATGTCCAAGCCCAACTCGAAGTCTACGACTGAAGTCACGCTCCTGAGATTCCCAAGACCACCGGATGAGTCCATCTGCAACACATTGCAGGCTTTAGGCTCTGGAGTTTAGGGTTTACGGGTTTACAGTTTAGAGTTTAGGGTTTAGGGCTTACGGGATTTGCGGTTTAGGGTTTACGGGTTTACAGTTTAGAGTTTAGGGCTTAGGACAATACTCCAAAGCACGCAGGGCACTGTGGCAGGAGCACGGCTTCCCGACGCGGACACGCACGCGCACACGCATTCGCTGCTAGCACCTGAAGCTAAACCCTAAACCCTAAACCCTAAACCGTAAACCTGAACCCTTTGAAGACCGAGAGCCTCACAACATCAATGGATATTGGGCTCGGCAAGCACCTCATAACACCCTAAAACGCAACCCCTCCACAAAAAAAAAGCGTCTGAAACTCTTGCAAAGCAAGTCGGTTTTTTACAGCCGACCTAGCGGACCCGGCGGCCTTCACCTGCTTCAGGGCCATCTCCTTGGCCTCCATGTTTTGCTTGAGCCTGGGAAGGCGATAAAGGTGCCTTGAGTGTTACAACCGGCTTTTGCAAGGGTTTAGAAGGGTACAGTAGGGCTTAATACGCTTCATTCCCAGAGCAAGGCTTTTTGCGCTTATCTCATGATAAAATATTCTAGGAACTGGACAACAACTATTCTGGTTTCTACTTCCTCCGACCTCTATATTATTAGCTTCTGGGCTCAGGATAAAACAGACCCCCGACAAAATATGCTCATGTCTGCTTGGGGTCGAGAGTCTGGGCTTTCGGAACCTTCATCAACGTAGGGTATGGTTTAGGGTTTAGGGTTTAGGGTTTAGGGTTTAGGGTTTCGGGTTTAGGGTTTAGTATGCATTGGCCTGAAGAGGCTGAAACCTTTGGGAATTAGATCGGCAAACTGAACTTTCGCAGCAGTGAAGGCTGCTCCTAATCGTGCAGTTGCCGGAGTTGCTTCCGTTGCTCAGCCAAGCCTTGCGAATGCTACTCTTGTCCTTGCGAGTATCGTCAACCTGATCATCGTTGTCGTAGCCTTCATCATTATGACTGACGCGACTGATAATACTGAATTGTTGTAGAAGAAAGACCAACATAACACTTCTCACTTCACCACTATAGCAAGAAAAGATCGAACAACTTTAACTACGACCTATCTGCCATAACCGACAGAAAAACAACGAAAATGAACAAAGGAACAGAAGCAGAAGAAGATCGAATAAAAACGATAACATGAAGTTCCAAACATGCACCCTAGACCCCATACCCTCATAACCAAACCAAGACCTCCGGAAGAGATCTCTGAGGCACAATGCACCCCGACATCCTATTCCGAGACTTAAGGTCCCAACTTTGAGGTTCATGATAAGCAAATGTAAAGACCCGACGTATCACCCCAGTTATAGCTCCCCATGAACCTCCAAGTAGGAAAGAGCTCTCCTGAGAGCTTAAGGGTTTAGGGTTTAGGGTTCAGGGTTTAGGGTTTAGGGTTCAGGGTTTAGGGTTTAGGGTTCAGGGCCTAAGGTTCAGGGTTTAGGGTTCAGGGTTTAGGGTTTAGGGTTTAGGGTTCAGGGTTTAGGATTTAGGGTTTAGGGTTTAGGGTTCAGGGTTTAGGACTCTTCCTCAGCCCGGTGCTCCGCCAGCTCGCTTTCCAGGCGATCTCTCCGCCTGGTCTCCCGCTCTTCCTCGGTCCTCAGAGCTGGGGTTTAGGGTTTAGGGTTTAGTGTTACAGGCTTTTCTTTAAAGTGCACAGGTTTAGGGTTTAGGGCTCAAGGGTTATAAGGGTTTTTTCAGGCCTGTCCGCGAGTCTTTCAACGGTTTTCATAGGGGGTTTCATCCGGATTCTAGTAGGAGCTATGTAAGGGATTTCAGATGGCTTTACCAAGACTCTGTAGCGGTTCTGAAAAGGTTTTTAAAGTGGTTGTATAGGCCTTGCGCTCAGTGTGTGCATCGGGCCTTTGACTTTAGGTCTCCGTTTAAAGTTTACGGGTTCTGGATGTAGGATTTGGGCTAGGCTTGGGGTTTGCATCGGGTTACAAACTGACGGCTGAAAGCTCTAAAACTCGGGCTCCTGGTTTGAGGCTTTGCAGGTGCTTCGGACTTTGAAGGTGATTAGGGCTCGGTTTAGGGTTTAGTGTTTAGGGTTTAGGGATCAGGGCTCAGTGTTTCTGTGCTTTGGGTCCTCTTGGAGCCTCTGCTCTCCGTCATTCCCCGCTGTCCCTGGACCCCAGAGGGGCCTCTTTGCGTTGAGCATGTCCTTCACGTCCGCAATCTCGACCTCTTTGTTGACGGGGCTGGTCGGTTACGTTCGAACATTGGGGTCCGGAGTCTAGGCGGTTTGGTCTCTCGGCCTGAACCTCTTGAAACATCTGAGTCCGACACCTGTGGAACACCTATCTCTATGAAACTCATGCATTCTGCATTCTTGTGTTTTCCTGGCCCCATAATATGCGGGTTGGAGATCCGGGAATCCAAAGAGTTGGTGCAACTCGCAGTCATGTCTTTGTCGCTGTCCTCGTCGTTGACATGGTCGTTGTCGAAAGTGCATTACTATTCTTGTTGCGGCTTGCAGCTCCTGAAACTGCTTTCTGCAAATTGTTGTTTGGTTCATTCTCATCTTCCACGAACATTTTCCAGACCGCTGTGTTTGTGCAACCTGGTGCGCATGGGCACCGATGAGAAAGCCCAGCCGAAAGCGCCTCGCTCTGAACCTTCTCAGACTCGTATCTCTGAGCGGTCTCTGTGAGGACCTCGGATGCAGGCAGCCAAGATAAACTCTAAAGACACCGACCAAACCCGCTTAATTTAGGGGCGTTAACAATTAGAATAGGGTTTTCGAGCCCAAAATACCATATTTATAATCAGGAACCCCCAAAATCGTATAGGTAAGTCTTTAGGCCCCTATATTATTACAAACAAGAAGGATCAGTCAAAGCCCTTGCGCTCCGAATCGCTGAACTGCCTACTTGGCGAGCGCCAAGGGAAGGGGTCCTCCCGAAGTCGTTGGTGGCTTTAGGGCGGGTTTAGGGTTGAGGGCTTAGGGTTTAGGGAGTGCTTAGGGCGGCTTGGGGAAGTTTGGGGGAGAAAGCCCAGAATGGGGAGGGCTCAGTGGAGGCTCAGGCCTGACAGCTTGGAGCGAATGATATCTGGGTTCCCCCAGGCTGACGCCTTGCGGCTGTTACAAGGTTTGAGGGTTTATTTGCTGGGGTTCAAGGTCAGAAGGCTTCGGATGAAGAAAACTTCTTTCCGGGATTTTGGTGCCTTTGGGCCCTTGGAGATGGCTTGAGTGGCAGAGGCCCTGGCGATATTGTCGTGCGTCAAGGTGGCCACCTGCTGCCAGAGGACTGCATGCTGAATCCTGAACCATTTTCAGCAGCAGCAGTAGTAGTAGTAGTAGTAGCAGCAGCAGCAGCAGCAGCAGTAGTGGGAGTAGCGGCGATGCTAGTCCAGGCCTGGGCTTCGAGCTTGTCGCGCGCTTTGATAAGCTCATCTCGCCTCGTGGGTCGAGGGCTCAGCTTCGGGTTCGGGGTTTAGGGGTTTAGGGAGTTTAGGGTTTAGGGTTTAGGGTTTAGGGTTTAGAGTTTAGGGTTTAGAGTTTAGGGTTTAGAGTTTAGGGTTTAGGGTTTAGGGTTTAGGGTTTGGCCCAAGGCGTAGAATCTCTCTGATTTGAAGAATTTTGAGTATTGAGGAGATATGTAAACAAACAACATGACGGTGAGAGTCGGCTGAACGACCACGGCTTCGAGCCCTTGTAGCTTGTGAACGTTCCGGAGAAATCCCAAAACCGCCAAATCCCTACCACCTCCGTTACTCGGTGGATTTGCTGTTGCCTGAAGGGGGCTGTCGGCTAAAAGCCGGGATCTCTACACTCTCCAACCAGAAATGCCCAAACCCCGGCACCTGAAACCGTACCCGAATCCCACATCCGAACCCCCACAAAGCCCGAAGATTACAACCACTGTGGGGAGCCCGACTGTGCAATCAAGCTATTCACCGTGTTTTCCTGCAGCAGGGAGGAAGCAGTTTGTCTTGCGGTTCTTCCTCAAGACAACTGCTTTTTGCCCAAGCGGGTATCGGGCACTAACCCGTTTAGGAGTTTCCGACAATAAGGGTACCTTATTTTGGGGGTCCTTATAATAAGGATCCTCCTTTTTAGGGTCCTACATTAGGGTCCCCTATTTGTCGGAAACCTCCATTTTGTTAAACCTTTAGGCGCTTCAGTTCCTGGCTTTCGGCCCTGTATGGCGGCGGGAGGGGGCTGGGGGCAACGAAACCAGGCAACCTCCAAATGCTTCGGAAAAAACTCTACCCTATGTGGGATGGGGTTTAGGGTTCAGGGTTTNNGGTTTAGGGTTTAGGGAAGGGTTCAAGGTTGGGTTGTTGTTTACCAGAGCTCATGTTTCCTTCCGGACGACCGTCACAGACAACTAGATTGCGCCTAAACCGTCTGCTCCTGACCACGACCCGCCCCAAACTCAACAGAACCATGCCTACATCACCCTCCACCCCCAGACCCTAAATCCTGAATCAACCCCCAGAAAACGTGTAAAAATCCAAGCCTAAACCTGGTAGAACGTGTATTGAACCCTTGTAACTGCAGTGCAGAAAGCCAGAGTGAAAAGTGGAACACTCTCTAAGGCACCGCGCCGTCGAGATCTTTGCAGACCCTCATGACTCCCCCCTCCCTCACAAGAAGGGCCGGTCCTGGTTCACGCTAAGCCCGGCACCTGGACCACTTGAAGGGACTTCGGGGTTTGAGGGCGTTCAGGGTTTAGGTTCATGTTTAGATTTGAATTTAGATCGCCTGCTGACCCTGTTGAATCAGATATGTACCCCAGGGTTGTTCAACAGGTGGCGACAACAAGCTCCCTGTAAGTAACAAGTAGATATTGCAAAATGTACCATGGAAAGAGCCCATGGAGACAAACCCTGCTTGCATGCTCGGCTTGATCCAGACGGTGAAGGGCCGAGGGAGGGAGGGAGGGAGGGGAGGGAGGGAGGGAGGGAGGGAGGGAGGGAGGGAGGGCAAACGGGCGGGCGGGCGAGAGGGAAGGAGGGAGGGGAGAAGAAGGAAGGCATCAGGAAAGGATCCCCTA